AAAACAACAACCCAAAAAAACCCCGAACACAACGCAGGTGCAGCAGCTAAAGGAATGTAACTGTTGTTTCTGTCTCCTGAAAATATTTGCTACCTGGGCTTGGAACATTTTAAGTACTTGCCAACGATAAGTCGTGCCGCCCTCCTATTTTATCTTTTTTTTTTTTTTTGGTCTGCTAAGCGTGTGCAGGCTAAATTAAGGTGACGATGATATAGTTAGTGTTTTTCTGCTGATGAGACTTATCTATGCTAATGTAGAAAACTATGACGAGTGTAATGTCCGTTTTTTACCTTGTTGTTCTTTACCTTCTCTCTTGTTATCTAGGTCAGGTGACGGCGCGAGGATGTCGAGGTGTGGAAGAACTTAATAACTGGTGCGCTGCGCCACCACCACCACCACCACCACCATCTCTATTACTACGACCACACCACCATCAGTGCCACTACCTCTGATACTACGACCACCACCCCAACCACTATCACTACAGATACTACCACCACCACTACCACTACTGATATTACGACCAGCACCAGCACCACAACGATTACAACAGCGCTAATACTACCACCACCACCACCACTACTACTGCCACTACTGATACCACGACCACCACCCCCATCACCACTGATACTACCACCACCACCAGCACCACGATTACGACAGCGCTATCACCACGACCACCACCACCACCAGCATCAGGCACCACCACCGCTGTTGGCAGTGAGTCAGTCAGTTATCTGTGACTGGAGTACCTACTACTAGCGTCGGAGAGAAGCACACATACATGTAACACTTTGCCCGGTGTCTCTGTCTTTGGATCATTCCGCTGCGGGGCTCCGAGAGGAGAAGGTCGCAGAAGAACAGAGAGGAGAAAGAGACAGAAGAAGTGGTCCAATTGAGTGTCTTCTACTTCTCTCTCACTCAAAGTCGGGCGTATTTCCCTCGTCACATGATTCATTCATTCATTCATTCATTCGTTCGTTCATTCATTCATTCACTGGCTCAGTGTCTCGGATAGGTGTGGTGTGAACGTGAGACAACGGTTTTCGTGAGATTGTGTGCAATTGTTGTGTGGAATAATCAACGCGCTGCTGAACATACCGGGGCTACGCGATGGATGAAAGTCAAAACCACGTGAACCCCAACCCGACTCTGAAAGCAAATTTCTTGTCCAGGGCCACTTTTTGGTAAGTGTTCCCTGTTTATCTTTTAAACATTAATTGTTTTTAAAAAAAATATTCTTTTTGTTTTTTAATTTATGTGTTTTTATGGTCTCATCAACACAATTTAGATTATTTGGGAGGCGGAGTTTGACCCTGCCTGTCAGGGCCAGTTGACCCTGAGGGGAATATGACATCCCTGCAGAAAGACGGTAGATACCCGATGACAAATTCTCCCCAACCCTGTTCTCTCATTTGCGGAAGAACAGGGGGAACTGCTGCTTTTTCTTTCCTCTTCCTTACCATCGTCATTTTACTTTATTTCTCTTGTATGTTTGTCACTCTGTTGTGAACTACTATTTCCGGGGTGCCTTGATAGTCGAAGCAGACTTTGTGCTGTTGAGGCTAGAGAAGTGAGCAAAGTAAGCCTGATTCCCCGTTTGGACTTCTCTGTTGACATCCACCCCTTGGCGCTCATATGACCTTGCGGTTGCGAGCGCCGTAAAAACCTTACTAAAACTAAACTAAAATGTATCTGCCGGGATGTTGCGTCCCTCCCGGCCCGGACTGGCCTGGACAGACCGGACCAAATCAAGCTCCTGTCCCCTGGATGGTGTAAATTGTGTCTGCTGGGGTGTAAAACGTTTAGGAAACAATTCAATAGGAATGTTAAAGATGAAGAGAAAACTAAAATTGAAGTGCGGGGGGTCGTTGGTTAGCCTCTTAGTCTTTGCGAATGTGTGTGTGTGTGTGTGTGTG